TGCGGAGCACAATTTTTTTTTTTTTTGTGACAGTAATGGGACTCAAAACACAGAGCCATGCTTGACTCCAATATTACGCAGTAATATGTTCAGCCAAAACCAATTTAAAGATCGGAATTAGGTTTTCGAAATAATCTTAATAACACACGACCAATTAACTGTTTTGGATAAATTACATGTAGTAGAAATATTAGGGTGGTTTCATTTCGGCCCGGCATGGCTAGGTGGTTAGAGCGCTTGGCTCGCAATCTGAGGGTCGCGGTTTCGAATCTTCGTCCCACCAAACATGCTCGCCTTTGCAGCTGTGGGAGCGTTATAATGTAACGGTCAATCCCACTATTCGTTAGTAAAAAAAGTAGCCCAAGAGTGGGTGGTGATGACTAGTTGCCTTCCCTGCTAAATTAGGGACGGCTAGCGCAGATATCCCTCGCGTAGCTTAGCTCGAAATTCAAAAGAACAAACAAACAAACATTTCATTTCTACTTTATGAGTTATAAGAACTTCTAAGGGTAACTGCCTTCCCACAACTAGCTAGACAGTGAAACGCAGTGGGAGTTAAGACGTTGTGGGTGTAAGCATTCAACTCCATACTCTTAATTGATTTTCCATGACTTTAAGGTGACGACTGGGATTTACAATGGATTTTGCTAAAACTTCTTAATGCTTCTTTTATATTAAGTTCATTATCATTTTATAATACTGATTTTAATCACCTATTAACAATTAATGTAAATAATAGTATTGAAGCTATTTATTTCATTTTATATATAATAGCTACTTTTTTACTTTTTTTCCATGTGAACGGTATCCTCTTTTCATGCAAATAAACAGAGCCGCAGGCTGTATAGTCATTTTTAGTTCTCCTTGTTTAAACATGTTGCTTGTGATTTTATCTGGTTCCTGAGCCTTGTTACTTTCGTTATCCTTGAGTTACTTTCTACTTTTTATGCTTATTTCTTCATTTTTCAGTTTATCATCTTCTGATTTTCATTATTGAGCTGTACAGTCATTGCTAGAAGGTTGCTCAGAAGACTATGATCTCTATTATGTCAGCTGTTTTTCTTTCATTTTCGTTCTCCGTACTGTTTAACGCGAATTTTGTTGTTTCAGCTTTTGTCTGTCTCTTTTTCATTTCTCTCCCTTTTTTTCCTAGTACCCTTTTTTGTGAGTAATTACTTTTCTTTCTTATGCCGCTCTTCTCGCCTTTTTCATTATTTTCGCTCTTGTTGTTGGATTTTTTGTTGTGGTTGTTCTCAATTCTTTCTCTATTATATTTACTTTTTATAGTTCTGTCACCTTTTTTATGAACTTCACTTTCTTTCCCACAGGTTCTATTTTTCTTGACACTTCCATTCGATTTTTATTTTTTATTTCGAAGTTTCCAAGTCTCTCTTTTAATTTCTAAATGTTTGCCTTTATTTTATTTTTTGAAAAAATATCCAATCGTGCAAGATTTTTCTGGATTTTATGGCATTTTCTGGCTCACCGATTTTTTTCTCAGAATAGTCTGTTGGGCCCGGTAATCGGAGGCTCAAAGGATTCCGAGTTACGGACTATATATATATGTTTATTTCTTTAATTTTTAACTTAGTTCGTCAGCAAGAAAGAGTAGAATCAACAAGATGCACAAGAACAATCTTTATTAACATATACAATAACACAAACAAAACAATAAAACAAGAACAAGTGAGTCTATTATACTATGTTGGACTGGCGAGAGAGTAAGGAAGTGAAGCCTCAGTGGGCTCTCTCTCCCCAGACTAGAATGTGTCCCCCACCAACATGTAAGTTTAAACTGGAACGATGTAATATTAAGACTAACGGGTAATTTAAAATGAAACAATATATCGTGCCTCAAGTTAAAATAACATACTGTACTAAAATTCTAACAAAATTAAAGTTGTGATAAAACCAAAGTTTCACAAAAGATCTAAAGCAAATCTGAGTTAAGTATATCTTGCCAGTATCTCAGATCGTTACATTACATATATATATATATATTCAACTTCAAAGTAAAATTAAAGCTACAATATAAGTCATAACCATCACATACTTTCCATTGTTTTTCACTGTTGACCTTAGTACGACATCATAAAATTCTTCACGTGTGGTATTGCAATAGATAACACTTTTAAGCTACTTTAAGGTATAGTTTGTTTTCATCTTTTTTAAATTTGAATAAATTATATTTTTTTACTTACTTTGCACTTAAATATATTTTGTTTTACTTTTTAGTATTAACCACCATACAACAGTCCTTCTAACTATATTGAACAACTAATGTGTAATTCTTTTGCTTTCTTCAATTGTTCATTCTCACCTCGAGTCTTGATTACTATTATCATTATTACTCATGTCCCTCCACAAACCATGTAATTGTGAACTTTGTTTATCGTTGGAATATCACAGTGATTGACATGCCGGGCTGTGGTCTAAAGGTCTACGGTTCAATCCCGCAGCATATCACTGAACAAGTTCCGTAATTTCAGCTGTGGGCATGTTATAAAGTGACAGCCAGTTCCATTATTCGGTTAAAAACTATTCAATAATTTAGGTAAATTGATAAAAAGTTCTGAGATAAAAATAATTAAACTCTACAGATCATTACTCAAATAGTTTAAATTGATTTTAATATTTTCAACCTGGAAAACACTTTATGTGACTAATTGGTTAAACGACCAGGTTCAGACTTTTCTGTTTCTAATTTAAAGTTATTTACTGGAAAGAAGGTTATTAGTCATCAGTACCAACTGTCTACAAGGCTGATTATTAATATTCATACAGAAAACATAAATATTAAGTTTCATATTTTCAGAATTATTTACTTTGAATTTAAAATAACGTATTAAAATTATTTGCTGTTTTGTTTTAGTTAGTTTGTTATTAAGCACAAAGCTACACAATGGGCTATATGTGCTCTGCCCACCACAGGTATCAAAACCCGGATTCTAGGTCCACAGACATACTGCTGTGCCACTGGGGGGCATTTGTTTTAGTACAAAGCTGCATAATGAGCTATCTACACTGTGTCCACCATGGAGATCTAACCCCTGGATTCTAGCATTGAGAGACCTCAAACTTACCTTTGGACCAACGTGAAACACACAAACAAAGTCCTATTAGTACTCAAAATGTTTATGGAAAGTAGCTTTTCATTAATTAGAACTGAAAAGAAAAAATGTGGTGTCAAAAAGATTATATTAGTTTTAGATTACAGAAAATTTTAAAGCTACAGCGAAAGTTAAATCTAGGATAAAATTCAACTCCTGTTTTGGGATCTTCTAGTTGTTTTTACTTGTTTTGATTATGTTCTGGATTCAATTCTCAATATTATTTAAAAACAGAATAAATATTCTTTTTTTTTTTACTTTTAATACTCCCAGTAGGTGGCAGTAAAACATTATCGTTTCCATGGTTTTGTGGTAGGTGTGTGACATACTTATTGTTAAAATATGACGAGTTGGTATTAGATTAATTTAGAATTTATATGATATAAGTCTGGTTTTGAATAATATAAAAAATTCTTGACCTTTTTATGTTCTATAAAATGTTGCAGAAGAGCAATTCGACTTTTCGTTGATTATCTGATTAACTCATTAACTTAAGTCTTAACTAAGACAACTTTAACTTCACTTCAGACAGTTCAGTCAGAAACAGAGAAAAAAGTGAGCGATTATCAATACAGGGTAAGTAACAAACAAATTATATTGGTACTTGTAAGTTATAGTAAGATTTATTAACTAGGTAATTAAACTTTTAGTCATATCAGAACTTCTGAAATGAAACCTGAGCGTTACATTGTTTTTATTTTTGCAGATTCTATGTATTATACTGCTTTATTGGCAGTGGCACTGTATTATAGTGTATAACTGTTACAGTTATTTCTAGTTATTTGTTAATGATGTTTTTATCAGTATTAACTATTATTATTAATCGTGATGCCATTTTAAAACAACTTTAGCCTTTATTTTAATTTTTAGTAACTTTTATGGTGTCAAACCTGAAGGTGATCTCAAAAGGTGAATGAAATTCTGTCAACTTGTTTGTTCTTATGTTTTATAATTTGGAGACATCCTTAAAAACTTCTTATTAATGGCAATTTTATATTAGGCCTAGTTAAACACAAGGAGATACCTATCTAACAGTAACACTAACACTAGTAAATGTTAGATAAAGTTTTAGTCTAACATTAAATTGATTAATGATGATTAATATAAATAGCTAGGGAAGTAAGGTGGACCAGAAAGAATATTGGCAGGGATTTGCTTGTTAAAATGTGCAGATCACCAGTGTGTTATACATGCTGGTTGAGGTAGCTAAAGCAAAGTTTGGGGTGCTATAGCCCTTCTTTAGTACCACCTCTCATCACCCTTAGTTTTGAACAACGACTAAAACCATCAGCTTAAGCTAAACTTAGCTTTTCATGACTACATACCTATTCAAAAAACATGTGAGTAATTCAAGCTTAACAACACACACCATATAATTAGTAAAGCCATTTCATTAGTTTATAAAAGAGTAGTAGTTTTATATAAGATAGTAAGCACCAACATACACATTGACTTCTAAGGATTAAAGCTTATGTTTATTGTCCCTAATATCATAGTCCTTACTTCTAGCCTTATCATTACTTCATTCAATTTATATGTCCCTAACAATTTTATGTCTGAATCAAATCTATAGTTTTTACTTTCCAGTGAAAATAAGTTACCAATTCTTAAGCCTTTCTTGACACCTTAACTTTCTTGAATCAGTTGTCATTCTAGTTGTTCTACAGCTTATTAGTGTTATTCTTATTGTAACTTGTAAGAGGGCCAAGAGTAAATATATATTGCTCTGAAATGAGCTTAAGTTTTATTTAAAATGGGAATTATCTTCTTGCTTAAATTTCTTTTTCTAGGTTTTACCATCTTTAATTTAGGAATGTACATTTTTATTAATGTTTTATGCAAAATCTTATAAGAACCTTTCAGAAATTCAACATAGATAACAATTTTGATGCTTTCATCCAAATTATTGTATTTTATTCTGTGAATGACTGAAATTTGTTTGTAAATTGCATTATTTTCATTTACACTTTTAGATTTTGCCGATTTCAACATTGGATACTGATTGACAGCATCTTTTAAGATTGATATCAAGAAGATGGCAGACTCAGAAGCATTATTAAAAGTTTGTAGTTTTCTTTTTCTAATATCAAAAAATATGTTTAATTTTTATGTTATTATTGGCATATGACAGTTGATGGAGTGAATGCATTCACATTGAAAAAAAAATCATACTTGATTAAAAGTTTTTTTTGTGTCAAATTGAACTTCAGGAAAGTTTTTATAAAATTTAATTACCCCCCCTCTATTTTTTAAAGCAAGTATTTCCTGAAAATTATAGATATTAAGTTTGTCTTTTTCTATTTTAAGGCCAAAATTCATTACTACTGCCGAGAAAAGTTTTTTCATGCCATGCAAAATGCAGCTGTAGAAGGGCTGAAAAAATTTACTGGAGACCCTGTTTACAGGTTCTACTTTGGTATTTCTCTTGTACTGGAAGGTGAGAATAATGAAAACAGGTTCATAACCTTTAAACGTCTCATGTATTTCAAAATGATTACCTATATATATATATATTATATTATTACTATTCTTGTCAATTTTCGATTGTTTTTGAAGAACAAGGAAATCAAGTTTTTCGAAATAGACTAATACAAAAATTACATAGTAACTGGTTTTATCATATATATATATGCAGTGTCAGGACAAAGTATAATGTATCAACACACAGTAACCCAATCAGATCACGAGAATGTTTTGGCTACAAATTTTTGTAATATTACATATCAAAACCAAAATTTTGTAAGATAGTGAGAAACAAATAATTATTTTAAATGATTTGATGTTAACCATATTAATATGAGCTTCTGATCAAAGCAAGCTTCCTACGTAGGTCATAACTAAAAATCAACCAGTAGTGAGTATAGCTGGTTATATATATATATATACTGTTTTTACTCTATTACTTATAATGATTATAATGCTTTGTTTCATCAGTTGAACATATTCACTGTTACCAATATTTTGGCTGTAATCCCAATAATATCTCATGAGCTTAGGAAATTTAGATTAGTTCTCAATCCATATATAGTTAACAGTTAGGGTATACATCTGATGGATCAGTCAATTCTGATCTTTATATTTTGACATTGCATACTCCTAGCTAGATCATAATATTAAATTACCTATTTTATTTACTTGGTTAATTTTTAGCTTAGATCTATTTAGGTTTATTCCTTTGATCTGGAGTTATTTATAATTGTGACTATTATTTTAAAATTAGAAAAAATCAAACTTCTCAATCACATGCCTTAGTGTGTTAATTGCTTGAATAATTGGTAGATAGATCATAAAAACTCTTTGATCTTCATGAGTTGTACTATCAAAAAATTAGTTCTCTAAAGATGCAAAACAAAAATCAAGTTATAACTGTCAAAAAGTTACCAGCATAAGTAAAAATTACATAAATGTTTCCATTACACCAAATTAAGACATTTCTGTTGTAACATATTCAGTAGTAATATAATGCCTAATATTTTTTCAGGCAGAGTTCAAGAAGGAATAAGAGAACTTGACTCTGTTCAAGATAGTAGGGATGTGATGGTTGGAAGTTTATTGGCTTTGGTATATGCACATAGGAAATGTAAAGTTGTAGGTAAGTAATCTCTCTTTCCAGATTGTTCTCTATGTTAAACACCCAAAATTTAGTATAAAAAATGAAATGAATTGTAGTTGTCATTAACATTTTATAATTTTATTTGTATAAGCAATGCAAAAACTATGTTTTCTAAAATACTTGTTTGCATATGACTATAGAATTTATTTAATATTTGCTTTAACTTTCCATATAAAATATTATTTTAACAAAATTATTATATAATCTGTTTATGTCATTTTTAAGATATCTGCTTAAATCTTCAGGTTTATTAGAAATTAAAATACTTAAATGACATTATTTATATTATTTTAGATCGGGAAGCAGTTTCTCAACTTGACATCAAACTGAAAGAAAAACGCAAACAAGCAGGAGAAATGGTTATTTTTTTGTTTATGTACAAGTTATTCCTTTTTTATTAAATTAATTTTTAAGTGGTAAAAACTTTTGTAAAGTTTCTGCAGCAAGTTGATTTTCAGTTGGTATTCAACTTATTTAGTAATATATGTTAAAGTCAAGGTATAAAACAACCTTTCCAGTAACAAAAGTTTTGACATTTTGATTGTACAGTTTGAATGCTTATGAATTGCTGAAATAGTTTATTTAAGCTTAGACAACAGAATTTTTTTATCTAAATTTTTATAGGGTCTTTATTATGGAGGTGTGTTTCTCTTCTTTACTGCTCGGTATGATAAAGCTAAGGAATACATTGATCGAATGTTAAAAATTTCTCCATCATCAAAAGAGGTAAGAATCTTTATTGAAAACTGTGTGTATGTTTTATAGTCTGTTGTACAGGCACTGGCACTTTAGACCACATATACATCAATATATTTTAATTAATATATTTTATTTTCATTGTAAACTTGTATTATTCATAAATTTATTTGCTTTTCTGTGAGTAAATATAACTTTTTTTTTGATAAATACTACCCTCGTGTATATTTCTTAATTCACTTAAGTTTTTATTTTAAACTTAGATCTGTAGGAAATGAAAAGGGAAATTCTCCAGTGTTGATACTAATTACCTGTAATCTCATTTTTTATATAGTATACCTGAAAAAGGTTAAAAAGTGCATGTACTTTTCCAGTAAAGGATGTTTATTTTTTTCAAGGGATTAGTGTTGAAAGGTTGGCTTGAAGTGATGGCATCTAAAGGCTCTCCTGGGAAACATATTTTACAATTATTTGAAGCAGCAGGAAAGTGAGTATGGATTTGGCTATGCATGTAGGTGCAGTATGAGTATCAACTCTTTCCGAACCAGAGGAGTGCACCACTGATGTTACTTGATTTTTTCCATACTTAAAGTGTAAATAGTTAACCAAACTGCATGAAACTTAGAACTAAATGGTATCAAGTTTCAGCTTTAAAAAAAATCGTGAAATGTCAAACTTTTGTTGTGAGACAATTTTTTTTGAAAAAAAAAGATAAATGCTTCATTTCATCTTAAAATTTAAGATTTCTCTCATTGTTAATCATAAAGTTTTATTTCATATATCTAGTCAACTAGAACTTGGCTGATTTCCATTAACATTTTTATTTTCATACTTTATTTTGTCAATTCCAGTAATTACTATTTTCAGCTATAAATCACACAAAAAAAACAACAACACTGCATGAACTAATATAATCATTTATCAGTGACTTAGGACCTGACCTTTCAAACTGATGTCAGGCTAAGTAACAATATTCTTGCTTAAGATTAATTAATTTCTAATAAATATAATTTCATTTCAATAAATGAGCTATTTATGTGTGTTGTTTAAATATGATAAACTTAAAAGTAATATCTTAAAAATAAAAAATATGAGTCATCAGAATATTTTGTCATTGCCTACCATACTGTTAAACATAACTATGCTTACCAGATCTCTTGTCATAGGAGAAAATTTCCATATTCACTCTGCATTAAAAGATATAGCTTATAATCTGCTCTCTCCAATGGTATTTTTACATTGCCTGTAGTTATTTTTAAAGCTGAGCTTCATTAGTAGTTGTTAATTTAAGATTCAAAAATGACTTCCTTTTTTTAGGATTTTTTTGTCATATTCATTGGCCATTCACAATGACAATTAATACTAGTTGAAATATAGCAACTCAAAATGGGAGAGCTAAAGTCTTTGATATAAGACTAATTTTTGTAATCTAGTCAATAGTGAATGATTAAGAGAAGAAAAATACTTGTTTTTGCTCAGTGTTGTTTTTTAACTTCTAGGGTTTGAAAACATGTAGATTTATAAATAAGTTAAGAAAACTTTCTGTAATTTAATGACTGTTAGAATTTTTGTAAAGAAGAATATTAAAAGTCAGAATTTACAAGTAAAATCTAAATTTGAAGAAAAATATAAAAAACTTGTGTTTGAATTCTTGCAATATAAATCTTTTTCAAAATTGTAGGTGTTATGCATTCAACTTAGACAAAGGAGTTGAAGTACACTATCCTACCAAAAGTCATGGGACATGGGTAGTTATGAATCAAACATGTCTTTATTCCAAGAAATTAATAGCGTGTTGACTCACCTTTGACCTTAACGACTGCTTCAATGCATCATGGAAGACTGTTTACTAATTTCTAGTTGAAAGCTGGTGGTATTGTGCTCCACTCCTCCTTTAGATCATTAGTAAGCTCCACTACTGAAGAAGGCTGTTTTGGCCTTGCCCTAATTGTGCATTACAGTTCATACCAAAGACGTTCTTTCAGGTTGTGGTCAGGGCTCTGTGCTGGCCACTGCAGTGTTCCAATGTTTGTCTCTTCAAACCACAGTCACAATTCTTGCTTTGTGACATGGAGCGTTATCATGTTGGAAGGTGTAAGGGCCGGTACCATAAAATTCCCACAACGTAGGACATCAATATAGGACTCGGCATTCATGGACCGCGACCGGTGGACCTAGTCCATACCACAAGAAGCACCCCCAGATCATGATACTGCCATCTCCAAACTTCACTGTGGGAACAACACACTGAGGTAATAAACATTCTCCAGGCATCCATCAGACTGGAAGAGCATGTAGCATGGCTTATCACTCCACAGGACTGAGTTCCATTGATCCACAGTCCATGCTCGGTGTGCATTTGTTTTTATTATCAATAGCTTGTGGGCTGCAGCTCTTCCATGAAAATTCACTTATAGGATTGCCTGTGGCTGCTCGCATCTTCAAAAACAGATTCTCTAGGGTCTGACAGCTAGAGGAAGTAACCAACCTTTTCAAGGCTCGTCGGCTCCTGTCAGTCAGTATTTTTACGCCTACCTGGTCATTTCTTGAACTCATTCTCACCCATGGACTTCCATTTCTTCAGCACGTTGCCAATTGACAACCTTGGAATGTTTAATTATAATGCAATAGCATGTACAGATATTTTCCCCAAATGACATCCAGTTATCCTTCCCCTCTGAAACTCTGTTAGCTCTTTCCACGTACTCATCGTTCAGCATACAAGTTTGAAATGACTTCTAAGGTAACCAGCCTTCTCGAGGCATGTCGGCTCCTATCAGTTAGTATTTTAATGCCTACCTGGTCGTTTCTTGGGCTCATTGTCACCTGTGGACTTCCATTTCTTCAGCACATTGTGAATGGTCGATAATTTATGAATTAAAATGGAGGAATAAAAAATAATATTTTTTTTATCTTGGTTTTTTTTTGTAGCATGGATATTGATGCAGTATTTGGGAAAGCCAAGTTTTATGAAAAGAATGGAAGTTATATTTTAGCCTTGGAGCTGTTAGGTCAAGCTGTGGCACGAATGCAGGGATTCACTCCAGCTTTAATAGAGAAAATGAAAATGCAGTTGGCTCTAGGAGATTGGGATCAGACATTAGACTCTGCCCATAGGTAATTCTTTACTTGTTGATTGGCTTTTGTAGTATTGTTTTTAAACAATATTCGTGTATTTTCTACAACTAAATACTGGTTATTATATAATAATGAGTGATCAGTTACAGGTGATTAATATTCACCCTGATACACAAACTAGTCATCTTTTATTATTGTAAATATGGTGTTATGTGAAAATATCTGTTATTCTTTTGTAAATATGTTTATATTATTTAGATTTGAAACTTTTTTTGTTTGTTTTTTAAATAGAGCTTTGAGTCAAGAACGTCAGTGCCTTGAAGCTCAGAGGTTTTTGATCCTTCATGCCATATGTCGAGAAGGAAATTACAGCCAAGTAATTAAAAATTACTTTTTTTGTAATGAAAATAATTGTGTAGCTCTTTTTTTAAAGAGGTATGTAATGATTATTTGAATGTGCGTGTGTGTATATATAACTTTATTGATATTTGGGAAATAAAACTAATTTTTGTACTTCAGTAGTTTGAGATATGTTTGAAATGGAAAAGTTTCTAGTCTTAATGTTAATGAATGGGTAGTTTTTATAGAAAATCTTGTATTGAAAGCTGATGAATTGTTTATTTATATTAGATTTCTGCTGAAAAGTTGATTATAGTTAATATCTAAAGATTATGTATAATAATATAATAAGGTGTGTTTTATTGTAATACTTTTTTTATGAATGATTTTTATTGAAAATCCTTGTATTTTGTTTAATAACGATCTTATAGGAAACTCTGGCTTCATATATTGTTTCAAGTACAATTAAATTATGTATACATACATATTTGTTTTTGCTATATCTTTGAACCTGTTCTTTTTCGTGAAAATCCAATCTTTTTTCCAATAAAATACTGTTTTGTGTTGTATTTCAGGCTGCAAGTCAGTTAACAGACCTCATTGCAGCAATGGATAAGAATGAACCTAAGAATTCTATCCTCTTTTATGAAACTGCTCAGCTGTTTGCCAGAACTGTAAGCTCTTCTTTATGCATATATTAGTTAACTTTATAAGATAATTTGTAAGGGTTTCTTATAAATCTGAGATAATTGATATGCCTTGCCAGAAATAATGAATGACTTTTTTTAATAGTCGTTACCTAATTGGTATATACTTGTAATTTGAGTAGCTAAATATCCATCAAAGAAAATATTTCAGTAGCAAGCTTACTGGAGGATTTGTTATCTCTATTATTATAATATAAATGGGAAAAACTTGTACATTTACTTACAAAAACATTTGTTAAAGCTCATTCATGATTTCATAAACATACATTTTAATGGGAGTATCAAAATTATGTTTTATTTTTATCAAAATATTTTGTTTCTCATGCAATAAGTACAGAACTGGTGACTGGTGTTGCAAATCATAAAGTAACCACAACAGTATTGTTTAGTCAAATGCTGATCGCAGCTTTTTGTTAGTGTGCCTGACTGTTGTGCTGAGGTTCTGTAGTTTGTGTCCCATTACTATAAAATAAAGAAAAGAAGAGTCAAGATCCTCACTGTGGGTCCATGGGTCTCTTATAAGAGTGATGGTCATATCTCATTATATATCCTGACGCAAGTAACCTAGACTTTGGTGGTAGGTGATATTGATTAGCTGCCTTACTCCCTAGTTAATAATTTCAAAATTGAGGATGGCTACCACAGATAGCCCTCATGTAGCTTTGTGCAACATCCGACAAGCCAACAAATTGTTTAGTCAATATATTACAATAAAGGATTGTTATTATATGATAACACAATGATTCAAACAAAGCACAACTATGTTTGTAAAATGTGTTGTTTAATACAAAGTATAATGAACTTAATAAGCCAATTTATCAAGATGCTCTTTTAAAAAGCTTCCTCATTGTTTTGTTTCTTTATGATCAATAAAACCAAAATGAAATGGTGGATCTTTTTTCAGGTTTGACATGCATTTTTATGGTATTTATATGCAGTGTGTTAAGATAGTTTCAACAAAAATTATATTATAGTTTCACTTGAAATGGTTAAAACTGGTCATATCACACATGGGTAGAGCAAAAACATTGAGCTTTTTTTTTAATTTGTCATATTATTTTTGTCTGTTTCCAATAGTTTTGGGTATATGGAAACAGCAATAAACTTACAAAATTAACTGAAAAACTGATATTAACACAAAAATCTGAGTAAGTGTTATTACTGTAGTCTCAGTTCATTAAACATGTGTTAGTGTGAAAATAACACACAGAAGTCTTGGAACAGTCATATTTATAAATTATTATGCTTGGACTGTGAACCTGAGGAGCTGTGGTGTTCATCTCATTGCTCCAAAACATGTCCAGCACATTGGGGCTGTCAGTATGCTGGTTAAATCCCACTATTCAGTCAGACAAGAGTAATCCATGAGTTGGAGGAGGGTGCCATTGACTAGCTGCCTTCTCTCTAGCCTATCAGTTTGAAATTAAGGATGGCTATACTTCGTGCCAAAATTTTAGAAGAAACAAAAATTATATTTATTAAAATTTAAAGTTGTGTTACTGTTACTTATGGACAGATAGATAGATAGAAGAATGACTATAGTACGTAGGGGAATACATGTATATATAATCGTAAGTAGAATGACAATATTGAGATATTCAAAAACATTAAATTTCTTGAAGTAACGTGTATTTTTAAATTCATGCTTACTTGGAATATGGTAATGGTTTCATGCATGGTTAGATTTGTATTAATAATCAACTTAAGTTTTCCATAGGAATATTACTTATGTAGTGAAAACAGTTTATTTACCTTTCATCACTATCTCGTATGTTAATGTATTTTTACAGCAATAGTTTTATATTTATTGTATATGTTATATAAATGTGCCAGTAGTTTCAATCCGTATTTTAACTCATTAACTTTGAGTTTGTCTTTTATGTTCAAGTGTGGCCGTAACAAACTGGTGCTGCAACACAGCTACAGCCTAGCAGAAAGGGCAGCCAACAATGATCCGTCTAATGCTGACTGTGCCACGGAACTCGGTTATCAATGCCTGCTGCAAGGAAAAGTCAAAGATGCTTTGAAGTTCTATCGTAATGCCACCAACTTGGACGAAGGCAGCGTTAGTGCCTTGTTAGGTAATTCATCATTTCAATATCAAAAGTGTTAAATGTAAAATGAAAAATTTTTGAAGAATGGTAAATTATGTGTAGAACAAAACCTTACTTACCTCACTGTATGTGCATGAGGAATGCAGATGTTTATCAAGTAAGGAAAAGAACGAAAATCTTATATTTCCTGTCAGTATTTGATACTTCTACATTATGTTGTTAAACAGCGACAGACGTTTGAAAAAAAAAGATCTTCTTTAGCAATTTTATTGTGTTTTTAAGAATTGAGAATTGTCATAACAAATCTGATTTGATTACAAAGATCTAAAAATATAAAAATAAAAGTCTATTGTATGTCTAATTCCAGTGTAACTGTTTTTAATACATTAGTCTGTGTATTTTCTGCAAGTGTTATAGAACTCGAAAATAATAAACTGCTGATGATTAGTTGAAGAAATTGTTCTCTTGTCTTCAAAGTAAAAGCAATGGCATTTCAACTTGAGAGCTAACTCAGTTTCTTGTCTGGATGATTGATTCTGCATATTTGAAGTAAAGGGAAAACAATTTTTTTTCCTTGTGTCTATGACTGTAATTTTTGTTTCATTACAGTCATTTATGCAATGATAAATGTGGCATTTTATCACGTATAGATAAAAATTCAGCTTTAGCTGTATTATTAGAGTTACTTGTGACCTAGAAATGAACTGTAAGTTTTATTTGGCTATGAATTATGTAAAGTTAATTTTATATACGAAATATAATAGCAACCTGTGTAATTTCATAAAACTACAAATCGTTAGGTGATATACGTGAAATGGCAGATGCCATCTGATTTAAGGTCGAATGAGGCAGAAAAATGATATCTGGTTTACAAGCATAATGAAACCAGATATGAGAAAATGAGAAGAGATTCCAAAACAGTGGGAAAATAAGTTAATTTTAACTGTACAACTATAGTATTTTTAGAATGTGACAAGAGAAGCTATCTGAACAACGCTTTTGTCATGGATAGAGCTACCTTTCACAATTAGTTTACTGTTCTTCAAATAGGCATATATTTTTATCATGTGTACATGAAAAGCTAAATTTATTCTAAGCATTTTAGTGTTACATTCTAGCTGAAACTTTTATTACTACATTACGCACAAGAAGGTGATAACATAGTTGTTTTTTGTTTATTTTTAGTTGCATAAGATTCTCCAAATTTATAGGCTTGTATAAGGTTGTACCCATAATAACCCAATATGTAGATGAGAAGATTTCTCATTGGCTGTCTCTTCCTTAGTCTTTCATGTGTCAAGGTTTTCCTATTCATCAGTGAACTTGAAATGCTGTTCGAACAGGTCTATTTCGACTAACTTGCTTTGTTATTAAGTATTCTTACTTGTTTAATTTGCCAGCAAGTTCTGTCAGTTGTTGTTAATGACCATAATGTTGCTCTTGTTTGTTCATTACTCTTTTCATCAGGCTTTTGTAAAGAAGTTGTTTGTGATTGATTTTCTTGTGCTCTTCTAAAAAAAAAGTATATAGCTTTTTTGTTGTCGTTTATATTTTCTTTCACAAGATACAAGTTCTTCTAAGGTTTCCCGGTGTGTATGGGGTGCCATCTTCTGGACTTTTTTGTAGATTATTTTGATATATCTGAAGTTTTTTTTATTCACATCGTATCTTGGTTGCCCTTGTGTACTTCATAAAAGTTATTTTAAATTATGACAGCTGTAGTGTTGGTTCTATTAGGTGCATTTTATATACCATGTTTTACCAATTTTTTTCTTCATTTCATTTGCCAGTGTCAGTATTATGATATGAGTTCTTTTATTTTTAGTTATTTGTTTTTTCATCAGAGCTGAAGTCCAGAATTGTATTCATTTTTCTGAACAGCTATTATATTTCATTTTGTTCTTTAACTGCTCTTTTGAATACCTTTGTATTTTACTATTTCACTGACTGATCATAATTTTCTTTTCTATTAGAAATGAGCTCAATACCTATTAGTAACAAAAAAAGCAGTGGGCGTTCAATTAATACTGTAATGGAAAGGTCCATTGAAAGCTTGCATTTTCTGATGTTTACCTTTGCTACTGAAGGTGGACAGAGGTTATGTTTCCACTCCTGTGTGTGTGTGTGTGTTTATCAGCAAGATTTCTCGAAAATGGCTGAATGGATTTGGATGAAAGTTGGTATACATTTGAACTATGATCTAAATTACAAGTGATTAGTTTCTGGAGGATCAAGTTCATGAAAATCCAAAAAAATCCCTATCTGTAAACATGGGGACACTATTTTTCACACTATTTTGGCTCTATAAGTCAGTCAAAAATGGTCAGATTTTGATGAAACTTGGTTGGATATATGTAGAATGTTATTCATTATTGTCCTGCAAAAAATGGTCTGTGTACATTGATAATGACAGACATACAGATACATATTCATATTTTTTGAGAGCTGAACATGATCAATGCTGTATGGTGGAGGTATGCGCTTTACTGAGTGCCCCTGTAGTTTCACTTATTCTTGGTAGCTTTATAGTCAAAGTTCTAAGTGTAATTTATTTTCTTGCATTGTCTTATTTTATTACTAAGTGTTGGTTGGTTGGTTGTTAGAAGACCTCGGCTTATGCATCTTTACACAACAATTTTCTGTCTTGTATGTTGACAGTCCAAATTTACACACTATTTTTTTCTAGTTTAGCCAATTTTTCATTGAGTTAGTTTTTTTTGTTTTTTTTCAGATCTTGACCATCTTCTTTTCCATATCTGTTTGGCCTGTTCAAAATACTAATGTATTTGCCCTACCAGAACAGTTGCTCAAACAATGTTCAGTAGATTTTTAGGTATATTTTACTCCTTTACACATCCTTTCATTGAAGTTTAGTTTTATTCCTGATATACAACGTTTCTCACATGTAGAACCCTAAGAAAATTCCCAACCAGCATCCTTAATTCTGGATCTCTAAGAGTATCCAACATGGCACATAAATATTTTAAAGGAATTCAAGTTTAAAAATGGGACACAAATTGCTTGAAGAATGAACAAACATTAATAATTTCCTGCACCTCTATAACAAATCAAATTCCACACAATGCCTAACGAGGTACGTTATTATATTACCAATGGTATCCTTCATACCTGTTTCCTTTTTCTTCCAATTATAATTATATACACAGAGTGATAATTGTATTGAATACTAAATTTATCCACATCTTGCTTTCATATTTTTTATTAAAATGTGATACAGATAATGAGAGTGCTAGAAGAAGAGAATATTGGTAATGAATACGGATCCTGTTTGGTCTTTTTTTTTTTCTAAAGGGATAAACGAATGATAATTAATGGTGCTGCCAAGATATTCCTAAGAGATGAATATTAAACCCTTGTAGTTGATCATTAAAAAAGAAAATGAAAGGTTCATAAAAAGCTGAAAATAAATAGATGTCAATTTCGTGAAATCTACTTGGAAATTAGAAGTGAATATAAAACTGGGTTTTGGTTTGAGAACTTAGTTTGAATTTTATTTTGTTCGTTTAGGAGTGATATTTTGTCAGCTGATAGAAGGACAACTCGAAGTTGCTGGCCAGCAGATTGAGTTGTTAAAAGAAATTCAAAAGTCAACTGGCATGACCTCGGTAAGTCCATTAACTAATTTTGGACTGGAGGGGTGTCACTGATATCCTCTAACTTTTGTCCTTCTCAAAGTGGAAATAATTAATGAAATTGCATGAAACTTAGTATCTACTTGATGCTTTCAAAGCTAATATAACTTGATTTGGTATTTCTGAAACTTTTTACGTTGTGAGATTTCCAAAGTTTTGTCATCAGAAACTATTTTAGAAAAACAACAACGTTACAAGTACTTTCTTTTATTCTTGAATTTAATTTTGTTTTTATTGTTCTGCTATATATATTTTTTTATCATTATTATATATACATAGCCAGAATTGGTGACGTCTTCAATTAGAAAAAATAACGTATTAGCAGACAAAGAAACTGACTAGATATACAAAATGGAGCTTTCTATTCAAACTTTAAAAAATTTATTGGTGACCTACGACCTCATCTTTGAAATAGAATCACCATTACCTTTGTCAGGCTAGGTATGATATTGTGATGTTTGCTAACAACAAATCTTGCCCGAGAACAATTTGTATCTAATAAATATGGTACGTTGGATTCAATAATAGTCCACCGTCTGTAAAGCAAATGTACTTGTGCTTTCAGTAGAACACAAATTACTTAAAAGCTGATTTACTAATAATACCACACAAACAAATTATAAACTAACCAAATGTTTGTAAGATGTTTGATATTTCAGTGCAAGACTGATAGATTTAAAGGATGTAAAATTTCTGAACCTCATCCTAATTTTTGTTTGAGTTTAGCCTGACTGACGATTAGGGTCATTGTTTTCCAGTAATAAAAACAGAATAATTTTTTGATTTCCAAAACTTTAACTTTCAGAATTTCTGGTTATAAGTGTACATTATATTAAAAATAGTAACAGTTTGATCAGAAATGCTACTATGCAAGACCTTTATTGTTGAATGTATTTTATGCAAGACCTTTGTTGTTGAATGTATTTTATGCAAGACCTTTGTTGTTGAATGTATTTTATGCAAGACCTTTGTTGTTGAATGTATTTTATGCAAGACCTTTGTTGTTGAATGTATTTTATGCAAGACCTTTGTTGTTGAATGTATTTTATGCAAGACCTTTATTGTTGAATGTACTTTATGCAAGACCTTTATTGTTGAATGTACTTTATGCAAGACCTTTATTGTTGAATGTACTTTTATGCAAGACCTTTATTGTTGAATGTACTTTATGCAAGACCTTTATTGTTGAATGTATTTTATGCAAGACCCTTATTGTTGAATGTATTTTATGCAAGACCTTTACTGTTGAATGTATTTTATGCAAGACCTTTACTGTTGAATGTATTTTATGCAAGACCTTTATTGTTGAATGTATTTTATGCAAGACCTTTATTGTTGAATGTATTTTATGCAAGACCTTTATTGTTGAATGTATTTTATGCAAGACCCTTATTGTTGAATGTATTTTATGCAAGACCCTTATTGTTGAATGTATTTTATGCAAGACCTTTACTGTTGAATGTATTTTATGCAAGTCCTTTACTGTTGAATGTATTTTATCATTTTTATGTGTATTTCTTATTTTCATTTTGATGTACAAGTATACCAGCCACTGTTAACTATTACTTTGCTGCCATTGTGCCCTTCTTTTTTTATCATGTGTTGTTATTTTTTCCAGGGCTTTTAATTGATAAATTCCATTAATGCACCTGATTGCATGTTCTTTCTTTAAAATAGTCTAAAACTTTACCACAGGTAGAACAAATACTCGCGTCTGCATGAAGCACATCTTTGCTGAATTCTGTAATGCAGTCTTCAAGCTTATCCATGGTTTGTCTCTTCAGACAAGTTTGGAGATTGAACAGAATACAACAGATGCATAAGCTGGACCCTCACAAGCACGGGGGCAGAATAGCCTCATTATAATCCAAAAATTCCCAATAGCGTTAATATTGAAGTTAAAATATGTGTAATTCTTAATTTAACAAACTCTTATTAAAGTCAGACAAAGATAAGTTATTTTGGAAATGTTGGATCAATAGTTTTTGAAATTTATGCTAAATATTGGACCTACTGATGTTTCAACTATAGAAGAATACAAGTACTTTATATGCAAGTTGGCTAACATAATAATTCTATCTTGTGAAGCAGTAAGGTTTACGTAGTTAACACGCTAAGAAGTATACCTTAAACTTCATAAATAATTCTAAAGTTATTTGCTTTTTTTCAGGAACTTTCATTTTTAAGTGGTATGCTGGCTCAGAAACAGGGGAAGAGGACAGATGAAGTGCTGGGTTATCTGAATGAAAGTGTTGATCTACATTTTTCAGCACTTGAGGTAAACTTGTCCAGTTAAGAATCTATGTACTGGAATCATTTTGTAGAGCTGTAGACTGAAATCCATATGAAAAAAAATTAGCTAGTGTTTAATAGAGCACAAAAGAAAGTCGTAGAACTATACACTTAGACTAACATTCTGACTTAAAATCATAACACAAGTATTATTCATGTTCTTCTATGCCGGAGTTATGTCATATTAAAAAATGTGTTATCTTGGTCAATCAAGTTAAACATTTTTTGATGGAAGCAAGAAATTGAATTTAATCATGCTTTCATTCTAAGATTAAAAGTTTATACACAGCAGTTTATTCTGTATAATGTTTATATAATGCCTGAACTACACTGGTTCATATAATGCCTGAACTACACTGGTTCACAGCAGTTTATTCTGTATAATGTTTATATAATGCCTGAACTACACTGGTTCACAGCAGTTTATTCTGTATAATGTTTATATAATGCCTGAACTACACTGGTTCACAGCAGTTTATTCTGTATAATGTTTATATAATGCCTGAACTACACTGGTTTACAGCAGTTTATTCTGTATAATGGTT